GGTCCCCGACGCCGCTGCCCGCCCGCGCGCCCCCTCCCTCCCTCCCTCCCGCCAGGCGCTGTGCGGGGACCGCGGCTGCTGCTGGAGCCCCCACGCCGAGAGCGGCCCATGGTGCTTCTTCCCCCGCGAGCGCGGGTACCGCCTGGACGGACCCCTGCGGCCCTCCCCCCAGGGTAGGTGCCCCCCACCGCCGCCACCGTCTCCTCCACGTCGGCGTTGTCCAGCTCCGCCGTGCTCCGTCTGCGCCTTTGCTTTGCTTTACTTCCACTTCCCTTCGTTTCTATTTTATTTATTTCGGCTTTATTTCCATTTTGCTTTGTTTCTACTTTCCTTCATTTTTATTTTACTTTTTTTTTAATTTATTTATTTCTATTTTATTTGACTTCACTTTTATTTTACTTTATTTTAATCTTACTTTACTTTTATTTTACTTTATGTCTATTTTACTTTATTTCTACTTGCCTTGATTTGTATTTTACTTCATTTCTACTTTATTTTCATTTTACTTTATTTTTACTTTATTTATTTCTAGTTTACTGTATTGGCATTGTTATTTCACTTTATTTCTATTTTACTTTATTTCTATTTTCCTTTATTTCTACTTTCCTTGATTTGGTTTTTGCTTCATTTCTGCTTTCCTCTATTTTTATTTTACTTTATTTATTTCTATTTTACTTTATTTCGTTTCATTTTTATTTTCCCTTATTTTAACTTTACTTTGCCTTTATTTTACTTTATGTCTATTTTACTTTATTTCTACTTTCCTTGATTTGTATTTTACTTCATGTCTACTTTACTTTATTTTGATTTTACTTTATTTCTATTTTACTTTATTTGCATTTTTATTTTACCTTATTTCTGCTTGCCTTCATTTGTATTTTACTTTATTGCTAGTTTCCTTTATTTTTATTTTATGTTAATTTACTTTATTTTTATTTTACTTTATGTCTATTTTACTTTATTTCTACTTGCCTTGATTTGTATTTTACTTTATTGCTAATTTCCTTTATTTTTATTTTATTTTAATTTCCTTTAATTTTTTTCACTTTAATTAATTTTTTCACTTTAATTAATTTTTTCACTTTAATTAATTTTTTCACTTTAATTAATTTTTTCACTTTAATTAATTTTTTCACTTTAATTAATTTTTTCACTTTAATTAATTTTTTCACTTTAATTAATTTTTTCACTTTAATTAATTTTTTCACTTTAATTTTTTCACTTTAACTTCCTTTATGTTTATTTCACTCCGTTTCTTTTCCCTTCCCTCTGGTCAGGCTTCCAGGGGACGCTGGAGCGGCTGCCCTCCCCGCAGCTCTTTGGGCAGGAACTCCCCACGGTGCTGCTGATGGGGGAGTACCAGACCCCCACCCGCTTCCACTTCAAGGTGCGTCGTCTCCCCCCGCCACTGCCACCGGCTCAAATTTGCATGGTCACCCTGGGAAGTGTTCAAACGAGGCATTAATTTCTAAATTTCTTCTGTCGTTCTTTAAACCCGCGCAGCTCACTGACCCGAAGTCGCAAAGGTTTGAAGTGCCCCATCAGCACGTGCGACCTTTCACCGGCACGGCAGCCTCCAACTTAAAATATAAAGTTGATGTCCAAGAAAATCCCTTTGGCATCAAGGTGACCAGAGCAAGCAATGGAAAAGTATTGTGAGTAAATTTGAGGCTTTTTATCCCGAAATTCGTGATGCCAGCCGTTTTCTCAGAAGACCAGTGTTGCGTTAGGTGCCCTCTTGGGCATTTGAGCGGCTTCTTCTCTTCTTCTGTTGGATGGAAGGACTCTTTCCACAAAGAATTTGGGAGACGAGGAGGTGGTCTATCTCACTGGGGTTGGGTTTTGCCATCTTATCCTGGTAGATAAGCAGGATGGAAGGACTCTTCCCACATGAAATGTTGGAGATGGGGAGGTCTGTCTCACTGGGCTTGGGTTTTGCTGCGGTCTTTGATGGATAAGCAGGATGGAAAGGCTCTTCCCACATAAAATCTGGGAGATGGGGAGGTCTGTCTCACCGGGGTTGGGTTTTGCCATCTTCTTTTGATGGATAAAGCAGGATGGAAGGGCTTTCCACAGAAATTGTGGGAGATGGGGAGGTCCATCTCATGGGGGTTTGGGTTTTGCCACGTTGGCTCTCTGCTCTCTTCTCCCCTTAATCCCGGGGAGAATTGACGAATTGTGCTGTTGATTCGCCAGTTCCGATGAGAACTCTTTCTTTTTTTCTTTCCCAACATCACTTTGGTACCACGTCTATCCGGTCTTATTTCTGATGCGCCTCCTGAAGTTCTCAACCCCCCTAAAATCAGGCTGGGTGAGAGGAGACGGTTTGGTACCAACCGGTGCTAAGCTGATCCTAGAAAATTGTGAGTTAAAATATTCTGAGTGCTGCTACGTCGAAGGATTTTAATCCTTGAAGGATTTTTTTTTTTTTTTATTTTCCTAAAACCCACCCAGACCCAAAGAAAGCAAAGCTGGGCCGTCAGCCTTGCACTGAGGCGTAAATATTTATTAAATCAATTAAAAAGTGATTACTTAGCTGCCCGCTAGCAGGAGTCAGATTGCTATCAACACTTCAAGTTTGTTTAATTAGGATTTACTCCCCCCCTCCCCCAGTCATTAGCATTTTTTGCTTTCTTAAAAGCCTCTCTAAAGACTGATTTATCGTTAGGAGATGGGGTGAGTGCTCGGGACTGGTTTAGTTGGTGCGGGGAGGGGAGAATAAATAATTTAATTCAGTGGGACCTGTTTGAAACAGCGCTCTGGAATATCACTCAATTATTCCTTTTGTTTAATTTGGGGGGGAAAAAAAAAAAATTGGGAGACGCCTGTTTGAAACTCTCCTGGAGAAGATTCCTTAGACTTTCCTTTAATTTTTTTTTAAAAAATAAGAATGTTGGGACCTGTTTGAAACTCTGCTGGAGGAGATTGCTTAAATCTTCCCTAGGTTTCGGGTTAATTTTGAAGAAAAAATGTTGGGATGTTTGAAACACTGCTCTTGGAGGTTGCTTAAATTTTCCTTAGGCTGTTATTTAATTTGGAAGAGAGGAAAAAAAAAAAGAAAAAAAGTTGGGACCTGTTTGAAACAGCGCTCTGGAAGATCGCTCGATTGTTCCTTAGGCTTTTATTTAATTCGGAAAAAAAATGTTGGGAGGCGCCTGTTTGAACCCCTGCTCTAGAAGATGGCCTGAATTTTCCTTAGACTTTCATTTAATTTGGGGGAAAAAAAAAAAAATAAAATATTGGGACCTGTTTGAACTCCTGCTGGAGGAGATTGCTTAAATTTTCCTTAGGTTTTGGTTTAATTTTGAAGGAAAAACTGTTGGGATGTTTAAAACGCCGCTTTAGAAGATTGCTTGAATTTTCCTTAGGCTTTTATTTAACTTGAAGAAAAAAAAAAAAATAGTTGCATTTTATTTTTTAATGACAATTTTTATTAATTTTTTTTCCACAATTAATAAATTATTATTAAAAACACTCGGTATTTTCCCTGCAGTATGCAACGTGGCTGATTTTGGCCGAATGATGAGCCGCGTACATCAAAATTAGTCGCGGCACGTGATGCAAGAGCCTTCTTCAACAGCAGCTTGTGGGTTTTTTGGGGTGGGTTTAAGCGTTCCTGAGGGATCCAACCTTCGGCGTCACGATTTTTATGGGCCACGCGGTGGTTGTTTTTTTTTTTTTGGTTTTTTTTTTGGCAGATTCAACACCACCATCGGCCCTCTGATCTACTCGGAGCAGTTCCTACAGCTCTCCATCAGACTCCCCAGCAGCAACATCTACGGGGTGGGCGAGCAAGTGCATAAGCAATACCGGCACGACGTCAACTGGAAAACTTGGCCCATGTTAAGCCGGGACACGGCCCCTTCCGGAGTAAGCGACTTGTTTTATTACGTTTTCCTACTTTTCGGGTAAATTCTGGAATCCAGCCATGGTTGGCACGTTAACGATATCCACCCAGGGTTCTGTTTTATTTCCTTCTTTATTTTTTCCTTAAAGACTTGCCAAGCGTCGCGAAAAACACGAGATAGCCCGGAATAAAATTCCCCTTGGAATACCTTTTCCTAAATATTTGGATTGAATCGCTTGGGGGTTTTGCTGCGAATCAGCTGATGAACATTAATATTTGCCAGGCTTTGGGTTTTCGCCCTTTTTTTTTTTTTTCCCCCCCTGTCCTCGCACTGCCACGTGCAAAATTTGGTAGATGAAGCATTTTTGCTTTCATTTCTCAGGAAATAATGCCCATTTGCCCTTAGCAGCTTTACGAAGGAAAATAGGTCTGCCAGCAATTATTTTATTTCTACGGTTTTCCGCCTTGGTTTTCCACAGTGATTCCTAGTGATTCCTCCTTTCAAAAAGTACAAAAGTGCCTTCTCCCATCCCCGATGGGATGTTTTCTCCCGAATCCGTGAGGTTTTGGCTCTGTCCCTGCATCGACTTGCAAAATTTGCCATTTAAAATCCGGCGCTGGTGTTTATACTCGCTTTTTGCTTATTGCTTTTCCCGATTTGGATTCCTCCATGCAGTATTTTTTTTGGGGGGGGGGAGGAGGGAAATAGGCAGCCAAACGTTATTGCTGGGCTTATTTATTTAATATATTGCTGGGCTCATTCATTTTGGGCTTGATGAGAAAAAGGAGGTCTTCGGTAGAGCGGGTAAGGGCTTGACGAGGTAATGTTGCCAAAAAAAAAAAAAATCAACAGAAAACATTCAATTTCTGGTGTGTAATGGGTTGTGGGGAGCAGGAAAAGTAATGCAGATTGTGGAAGAAGTTATAATAAGACTATTTTTACACTGGGTTTTAGTGGAGTCTCCAAACCAGCTTACTTATAGCTGTAGCATCTCAAACTCAATTGAAATGTCGTCATTTGAGATCAGAACGAGATTAAACTCAATTGAAATGTCGTCATTTGAGATCAGAACGAGATTAAACGAGCGTGAAACGGAGGTTGGTTGATGCAGCATCCGTCCTTACGCTGAACTTGGGGGGGAGTGCCGACGCCTTTCGCTGAAACAGGAGTGCCGTGAACGGGATTCGGGGAGCAGCTCAATTAACCTTCTAGAAGGAAAAAAAAAAAAAAAAAAAAAAAGAGAAAAGAAAAAATCAAGACTGAATATGCAAGCTCATTTCCCAGAAAGTGTTTTTTTTATTATTATTTTTTTTATTTTTATTTTTTTTAACCCAAACACAGAATTTGCCTCACTATCAACAAAACTTACCGGAGAAAAGGTCGCCTTTATTTTCTTTCCACCCCTACCAGAGGTGTAATTTATATAATTTATTTTTCATTTTTGTAATTGTATAATTTATGTTTTATCTTTAAATAATTGGTATGTGGAGGTTCTTATCCGACGGGCTCCAGCGAAGGTCACGTTCCCCAAATCTGTGTTTTCAACAGACTTTAAGCCACTTAAAGACATTCCCATAAAAGAGAGAAATAGAAATAACGAGCTCAGTGTCGGCGATTCTATTTTTTGCTGTTTCCTTTTGACGAGTTTCACCTCACACGTGACATATTTTTGAGATTTGTGTACAGCCACCGTTTTTTTCTTTTTTTTTAATCAGCTTTTTTTGTTTTCCTTTAAGAACGTAGAGAACTTATACGGCGTTCAGACGTTCTTCTTGTGCTTGGAAGACAACACCGGCGCCTCTTTTGGTGTTTTCTTGATGAACAGCAATGCCATGGGTAAGGACGTTGTCTCCAAAAGTATCGCCAAAAAAAAGGTTAAATATAGTATTTATTTAAATGATCTGCAATGCCACCGGTAAGAATACTTTCTCCGTAGCTCTTAAGTATTGGAGAAAATTATAATATATATATTTTT